TTATAATGAATATGTTATATGGTGCATATATTAAGCTAAATGCCCCTCTCTACAGTTTATTTTTCTATCTGACTAATGAGTTTATGGTCACCGAATATGTTTTTTTCTGAGGTAAATGTGACGTTACGTGACATATTGTTTAGAAGCCATTATATTGACGTCTTTGTGCGGCTGAAACACAGATTGAGCGATTACATGAGACACGATATGGATTGTAAAGTTGTACTCTTTCTTTTAACTTACCTTCGGATGTTTAGTCATGTTTATTTTGTGCTGAAACTGGTATTAAAGTGGAGGAGATGATCAGTTCACGTGCGCTATGCGCTGCCGCGTTTGTTGAACTGAGGCGCTACAGCGATCTGTCACTCCACATTAAACAGTGCCAAAACGGCATTTATTGTTTAAATACTGCAATACAATGGACAGAATTTGAAATCTGAGACTTTGTTTCATATACCAAAGTACAATGCTTATTGCGATTTATTGGATGGGAAGTACCCTTCAATGTTCTGTCAATTAACTGAAAACAGGCTAGACTAATCGATTCTTGGGATTTAATTGATATTGTTCCGTAAAAATGAGAATCGATTAATATCGAGATATCAATATTTTTTACCCAGCCCTACTGGTTAGGTATGTTTTGAAGCATGGCAGCTGGTTAGACCTGGTTTAAGCTGGTCCTTAGTTGGTCATGATGCAGGGAATATCTACAATAATACAACGCCACAATACTGAGAATGCAATTCATGTGCTATGTTATGAGACTAATGTTAATGTTATGAGACTATGTTAATGAGACTTTGACAATCCTTTTAATCTACAGCAAGCCAATCATGGCAAGTTTGGCAAGTAGGAAGTCTATTACGTTAGAATCTGTTACACATGTATTATGTGTAACAGATTCTAACGTAATAGACTTCCTAGGACGTTGATAGAAACATTCTCATGTTTTTCAAAGCCATATTTCAAAGTGATAACTGGGATGATAATTGTAAAGCCATGGTGATAACCAAACTCTTGCGGGTATTTTTATCATATATCATCAAGGTCTGACAATGACGCACACAGACACCTTCAATCCTAAATTAATGACTGTTTTACCACTTGCACCTAAACTGTGTCACAAGATGACTGGGCTCAGTGACCACCACCTTACTGTCTGACTGATAGTGGTGCTGTAGATAAACTGACGATGTCTGTTAATCTGGGGAGTTTACACTTGAGGTTTAGGGTTAGTACACCATGCCAAGTCAGCAAGCAGCAGGTTGTAGCAGGACTTTGCTGAGCTCAGGCGATGACAGGTGAGAGGGAAATATCACCCAGAGCCTTTGCAGAGAATTCTGCTGCGCTTATCTTAAGTGTACTGAAATCAAATGTGGAGGCCGTATCTCATGTGTTTAAAGGATGTGTTTTTTAGGGTAGTTAGATACTGTGTGTCTAAAGGGCCAAATAGCATGTTAGAATTTAACACAAAATCTACTCATAGTTCAATTTAACCATGATGCTAAATGTCATAATGAGTCATTGTCATTATGTTTAGCGCAGACATGCCCCTTTCTTTGTAAATGTGGCTCTTTATAGATTGTGTCGTATTCACAAAACTCTATTTAAGGTCATCAGACAAGCAGTAAGCAGCAATTACCGAAAAGCCAGAAAGAGGTAAACAAAATTGCAGATTTTTTATTGATCATGGCTGCAGTTATTTGTGTAATGATGATCAAATGATTAAGAAAAGCATTATAATTCATCTCAGTAAAGTACATCAGATTGCAGTAGTCTGCTGTATATTATCCACCAACCGTGTAAATTGTGTTCAGCAGCACAGATTTTGTGGGTGCATCCGTGCCATAACCTGATTGTATGAAAATCCTTGGTAACACTTTATTTCGATAGTCCACTTTAGACATTCTATTAACAGCAAGTAACTTTGCAACTACATGTCAACTAGCAGTTAGTAGAGTATTAGTAGACTGTCTGCTTAATATCTTCTAACACTTTCTTTGTCAACTTATTCTACTAACCCTAAACCTACCCTAACAGTCTACTCTGAGAGTTAGTAGACATGTAGTTGCAAATTAATGAGAATTAGTTGACATGTAGTTACAAAGTTACTTATAGTTAGTAGAATGTCTAAAGTGGACTATCGAAATAAAGTGTAACCAAATCCTTTAGTGCACACTAAAGCTACATAGACAGTGCAAATAAACGGCACTGTCAGAATCACAATTTATTCTTGGCGAATCTCTCCTCTTTAACAAAGTACTTGGTTAGCTGATGCAAATTAGGAAAACTACTGAAGAAAATCAGTACATTTCTGTCCACTTGTTTATCTTCTAAACCATAACAGGTGCAGCTGGAACTTAAAATTGTGCCTTCAAGGTGTGGCCCTCAATAGAAATCCCCCTTCTTTATTTCTCACTTAAACATACTCTATTTGCTACAGGAAGTGCATGCATAAGCTTGGATTCACAGTGGTGTCACACCTAAACAAGTAACAGAGTGCATTTTTGACCAACAAACCTCCTTTTTCACACATCCCATAAAGTGTGGTGTGTGCCAAAGTGGCCTAAACCAAAGAGACTGCTATATAAAAGTGAGTGCTTCATGCATTCTTTTCTAGTTTTAGCTCTACACTCTTAAGGTGCGATGCAAAATCCTGTCATTTCAATAGGACTCAAATTCTGTTCCGCCACCCAGGTATGAAAAGCTGCTTGGTTTGAAAGTAACTTCTGTTTGGCCTTCATACATCCTTATATTACTAATAAAAGACAATGGATCTTTTTTGCCCACGAAATTTTGCCAAATTTTGCCAATATTTCTGCACCAAGTACTGTAGTTTAGGGTTGACTTGTAGGGAGTTTTCTTTTCTAGTGTAGTTATGTTAGAGTAGATTAACAGTTTATATTTTACCCCTGTGTACATGACATGTCCTCACCCTTCTGTCTGTTTCTGAACAGAATATCTCTCTTCGTGGGCAGGGGGGCCCTAACCAGCACCAGCAGACCCACTCAAGAATGGCCAACCACAACAACAGCATAGTGATCCAGCAGGCACTGCCCTCGCCCCAGTCCAGTTCTGTCATCACTCAAGCCCCTTCCACCAACAGACAGATTGGGTAAGTCGTGCCTCTCATCACTGCAGTTGCAGGGCTGAATTATCGTTAGTTGTATGTCATTGGTACAACGTTCAATAGATGTGTTCAATAGGCTAGTGTTTGATATTAGTCCAAGGTCCATGCCGTTTCTCCTATCAGAATACAGCAGCCGACTTGCGCAAGGTGGAGAAGTAGTAATTATGTTCTTCAAAAGACTGTGTTTGAGTCTAAGTTAGAGTTTGTTTGTCCTGTCATGTGGACAGCAGTGAACAACAGCTGGATTCTTGGTTTCAGATTGGAGGTTTTATTGAAGTATCTTAAAGGAACAGTTCACCCAAAAATGAAAATCTGCTGAAAATGTACTCACCCTCGGCCATCCAAGATGTAGATGAGTTTCTTCATCAGAACAGATTTGGAGAAATTAGGCATTACATCACTTACTCACCAATGGATCCTCTGCAGTGAATGGGTGCCGTCAGAATGAGAGTCCAAACAGCTGATAAAAACATCACAAGCAATCCACATGACTCCAGTCCATCAATTAACATCTTGTGAAGTGTAATAGGTGCTTGAAATGAAAATCCATAAAAGATGTTTTAAGTCCATGATCCACAATAACACTTTCTCCAGTGAAAAAGTCCTTCATCTGTTGTCCTCTCACATCAGAATTCACCGAGATATTTGTTTAGAACCATTTTGGACGGTTTTAACTAGTAAACTACTTGATCTGTGCATATTTCTCTCCTGATTCGGGTTACTCAGCTATTTCAATAGAGAAAGCAATATTATGGATAGAGAACTCATATTTTAGCTGGAAGCAACAGTTTGAAGTTAAAAAGGCCTAATCATTCGTGTTTATTACAAACATGCTTGTCTATTACTTGTGGATTATTGTGATGTTATTATCAGCATCACGATGATGGCGATCATGTTTCGATGAAGAATGGTCAATTGGATGGTCAATTTTCAGCAAACTGTAATTTTTTTGGTGAACTGTTCCTTTCATGTTGTGTATGTGAAGGGACATAACTGATCCCACGTTCTTGAGTATACATCCAAAAAGGATAGTTCATCCAAAATGGAAAATTCTGTCATCTTGTACACACCCTAATATTCCAAACCAGATTTTTCGAAACAAGGTTAGACTCCGAGTCTAGATGGGGGTCAAAGTGAAGTTATGCCTTTGGTGAGGTTTTGCATTTCACACATTCAAAGTTTCATACACACACACACCGACACTCTCACACACTTTTACCCAATAAAAAAGCACATTGCTGACTACATGATAGAAATGCCTCTTAAAAAAACGTTCATTGAAATGAAAGATTCGCCATTTGATCAGCAAATCAATATTTAATGCTAAAACAATTCTTACAAATGAGCAAAGTGTCCTTGAAAGGGCACATTCTCACATTCCTGGGAAGACTGTAACACTCTGTGGCTGTTCCGTGCTTTTGGAGTGTGTGTGTTTGTGAATCTTTCCAGTTGTCCCTGCAGTGACTCTTAAAGTTCTCTGTGTCGTGCAGCCAGCTTGGGTGTGTCCCACAGTGATGACATCAGTGGTGCAGCTCTGGTGGGGATATCAGCTTTTTGGGATGACGCCCCTCTTGCGCAAACACATCCCACTGCTGACCTGTCTTTCTTTTTTCTCCAACAGTCTTATTCCCTCTTTCTTTTTGTCTGTCTCTCTCTGTCTCTTTGTTGCATCAGAATGCACCCTGTCTGCAGTATAATCACCACATGAAACCCACTTTCAAACACATGATGGGCCGTAGAGAGAGGACGGTATCATTTTCAGCAGTAGTGGAGGTTTAGGATGAAAATTAGAGGGTCAGGTCTACAGCTGACACCAAAATCACAGATTTGTTATGTATAACAAGATGTTTCATGATGAAACTGTCATGTAGCAAGTTGATATATGGGTATCAGTTGCTTAATGTATGGAGGAGCTTATATCTGAAAGCAGTCGACAATCAATAACACACACTTTATTTAAAGTGAAGTGAAGTGACATGTGGCCAAGTATGGTGACCCATACTCGGAATTAGTGCTCTGCATTTATCCCATCCAAAGTGCACACACACAGCAGTGAACACACACACACCGTGAACACACACCCGGAGCAGTGGGCAGCCATTTTTTGCTGCGGCGTCTGGGGAGCAGTTGGGGGTTCGGTGCCTTGCTCAAGGGCACCTCACCGTATTGAAGGTGGGAGAGAGCGCTGTACATTCACTCCCCCCACCTACAATCCCTGCCGGTACGAGACTCGAACCAGCAACCTTTGGGTTACGAGTCTGACTCTCTAACCATTAGGCCACGACTTCCCCCCTTAATGCTTGTGTATGTGTTTGATGATTTTTGTGAGGCGTTTGAAGAAATACTGCATATCCCTGTGCCAATGGTAAGACAGGATAGGGCGTAGGTGCCCAGATTGGACAACTTGTGAATATTGGATGGAAGGCCTGTCAATCAAGTTGACTGACGGTCTGACAGTGCATTTGTTCTGGGAAAGAGATGGAATTACAGTCGAAGAAAGAGAGAGGATAGGAGACAGAGAGAGACTGGTTAGTTCTCCTTTCTTTGCTGCATTAACTTTTCTAGTCCTTGGTAGTCACTCAAAGACTGTTAAATAATCAAAAGGATGTACAGTAAATCTGTAAAGAAGTTTTGAAAGATGCACTGATTTTTATGGCCAAACCAACTGAGTTTCTCGTTTGCATACCATCTGCACAATATACTTATGAGCACTTTGTTAGAAGGGTTTCTGCAGGGTCATGGGCAGTAATGCTGAACACTGCTATGAATGGGAGGTGAATATCAATTCATGCAGAGCATATGCAATGCCCATGCTGTTTTTGTGTTGGAACATGGGTGTGCATGTGCTAAAGCTGTAAAGAAACAGTTTATAGCACTCATTATGGATGGACACTCATGCAGCTCAGATATTATAAAGTCCTCGGGCTTTTTTGGAAATTGTATATTTTATTGAGAGAAGCTGTGTTAGTCTTACAGTAATTGGTCAATATCATGAAACCTGTCAAGAACTTGAATGGGTCACATTTCAGACCAAAATCAAACAAAAGTTATACAAAAATATATTTATACAAAATTGTATTATATATAAAAATATATATTTTTAGGTTTTGTTTTGTTTTCTTGTTTTGTCTCTTTACTCTAATGCAAAACATCTAAAAGTTTATTTAAATTAGTAAATATTTATTATTGTGATATCAGTGTTATTTTAGTAGTAAGTTTTTGTTGAGATTTTGAATTAGATTTTATTTTTTATATTTTCTGTTTTCATTTTCATTTTATTTAATGGTTTAGTAATGTTGGTTGTGTGTTTTTTGTCAATTTTTATTAGTTTTTAATATTTATATATTTAAGTTTTTATTTGTAGTAAATTTAATTAATTAGTTTTAGTTAATTTATTTATTTGAGATATTTTAATACTTTTAAATTCTTATTTATTTTAGAAACTTTAGTGAACTAAAAAAATTAGAAATGTTGCCTTGGCAACTAGCTGAAATAAAAAGTTTTTTTCATATTTTATTTTATTTTATTTTATTTCAATGAAAGTTTGTTTTATTTCAAGTAACAAAAATGTTTTTTAGTTTTAGTTAACAATAATAACCCCGGGTAGTATTTGTTGTACTGCTTTGGGGAAGAACTTTAATAACTGTAATAAAGTACATAATGGATTACAGTAATGACAGTTTGAATGACCATGTTATTTTTTCCCTTTTAGTTGTGTTGTATGACATGAATATGGAGATTCACCCAAGCACAGTTTGCATTAATGTTCTGAAATATGATTTTTCTGTAAATCTTTCTGGTTGGTTTTAATCATTGTTTATGTCTATTGAAAACTGCAACTCTCTAGGACTCCACAAGTGTGAGGGTGGTTGTTTTGTTATGGGCACTGTGGAGGTCAGGGGTCAGCCTATGGAAGTGTGTATCAGTGTGTTTGGAAATGTCCACCTCAGCGGGAAAAAAAAGGCTTTCAATCCCCTTAACACAGAAACTCCACTTCCCGCAGGAAGCCATCGAGGCCAGTTAGTGCCTCTGTCCTCGGCCGTTAAATCTTCTCTTCCTGCTGCTCTGAACCGAAGATTCATACCATGATTTAAAGGGGTCATATGATGCGATTTCAATTTTTCCTTTCTATTTGGAGTGTTACAAGCTCTTGGTGCATAAAGAAGATCTGTAAAGTTGCAAAAACTAAAGTCTCAAATCCAAAGAGATATTCTTTATAAAAGTTAAGAGTCAACCACGCCTACCTAAAACGGCTCCAAATGTAGACATGGTTTTATGTTTATGCCGCGCGATGCAATGCAACGCGTAAAAAGACAGTATAGTAAAGACAGTAAAGTTATTATAATCCGTAATTATGTCCCCACTGGATGCAACAAATGCCTCATTTATAATGGGTTTTAATGTTTTTGTCTCGTCGCTCCGGCCTGACAGGGCATCATCACAATATGGTAAGGGACGTAACATTTCCGTCACACGCTTGAGGTATTCGGCCAATCACAACGCACTGGATAGCTGGCCAATCACAGCACACCTCGCTTTTCAGACCGATGAGCTTTGTAAAAATCGACACGTTTCAGAAAGGCGGGGCATAGAGGAGAAACAATAATGTACAGTATGTGGAAAATAATGTGTTTTTTTAACCTTAAACGGCATAAACACATTTCATTACACCAAATACACAAAATAATGTTCTTTTTAGCAACATCATATGACCCCTTTAACTAAAAATCCTGAATAATGCAGTATTGATGTGCATGATTTAGAAATACTTTGCTGTTGTGAAATGTTAATGTCTAAATATTACATTATTCCTAGAAAAGGGGGGTGAATCATAAATTTGGCATACTAACGTGGTGTATCGGATGGAAGTAACGTGGTGTATCTTACATCAGAGTAGCCGGAATGTTACTATTTTCTATTGCGAACTGACATCAGCTATATATATATATACAGTATATATATATATATATATATATATGACACTG